AAGTTTGCCTGGGAAGATTCATACTGCTCTTGGTTGTGTTTCCTTTTTAAACATTTTGTGATTGTTTCTCTTGATATCTGTTCCATTGTTTTACTAGGGATGGTAGTTAAAGTTAAAAAGTGGCAATTGAGAGGATCAATCTTCTTTTTTTTATTGCAAAATCAGTACAACATTTGCTTTTTCACCAGCTTTGTGCTGTCTCCCAGGTTATCCAAGTTTTCTGAGGCCCAACCAAACCATATTATAATTAGAGCTGGCTAAAACCCACTATCACTTCTCCTCCTTTACCCTCTCACTAAAATAATGGGAATTTCCAACCATTTGAAAACATTTTCCTTCCAATAGTGTTGTAAATTGACTGATTTTTTTTTAAATCTACAGAATTATTTTCAAACGATTTTTCCATTTTTTTAAATCTAACTTTTTTTAAAAAGGAATTTTTTATATTTTGAATAAATCCCTCAACGTGGCTAAGGTGACCAATCAAAATTGGCAACAAAACTAAAAAAACAAATTGACTAAACTTGGCAAAGGAACAACCTGAACTGTTTTTGTATACATTTTCCATCAAATTTTTTCAATTAGCAGGAAGTTTTTAAAAAATTTAAATGGTTTCATGAAGTTTTTCCTCTTCCACACAACTTTTCATTTTTTAATGAAAAATTTCAACCAGTTCTAACTGTAACACAACTGGGGCACCTGTGTGTGACAACTCATTCATCTACGTGGCAGTGGTGGTGTTTTGGGAATGTGGATATTCCTCATCTATAAACAGGATTAAGACTATCCATCCCACTGTACAGCTATCCGATGTTAACAATTTTCAAATCTGATCCTGGTCGGTAGACACCAAATTAACTATTCCAGGAAGAATGGCTCCAAATCCCATACACAAGCCCCTCAACTGTCCTGTCCCTATTAAATGAGTCTAAATAAAATACAAGCCTCCATTCCAATTTACCGTTAACACTTGTGAAGATTCCAACTATAAAATCAGCAATTTGAGATTGGTCCATAGAACCACACAGAAGAGTCAAACCACGAGAAAATGTAATAACTGCATCACGAGTTCTCGACAACTGCAGCAGTGAATAGCCAGATCTATAGTAGCCCTAGTGGGAAAAACACAACAACAAAATTGTCATCAAATCTTGTTACTTCTAATTTTAGGAGATTAGGAGCCCATTTCTGAAAGCCCTACAGAAAACTATCAGTAACTTTACTATGGGACGTTTTCCCTGAATAAGACTTGCAGGATCTGGTCTAACTGCATACAAAAAGTTATCAACATTTTAAATAGTTGAGAGAATTACTCACATATCTACAGAAAAAAGCTGTAAAATATTGTGGGCATCTGAATATGATAATGTTTTAGTCTCCTGAAGGCCCAATATCTTTTGAAAATTAAATTAAATATTTCTGCAAACAAAATTATTATTAAGCTAAACATCATTTTCTAGTCCCAAATTACTAATCATGCTCCAAAATGTACCTCATGTATGGGTTGTAATACTACTCTCTCAGCTCGTTACACTCAAACTCAAAGAATTCTTTAAGAATAAATACACCTCTACCCCAATATAACGCGACCCGATATGACACGAATTGGGATATAACGCGATAAAGCAGTGCTCTGGGGTGGCAGGGCTGCACACTCCAGCAGATCAAAGCAAGTTCGATATAATGCGGTAAGATTTTTTGGCTTCCAATGACAGTGTTTTATCGGGGTAAAGGTGTATGACATTGGCACTCATTGGTAGGGCCCCAAGAAAAATCACAGATTTTTTTTTTAATAAAATTCACAGCAGTGTCACAGGCCAAGTAATGAATTTCACAATATATGCATGGGATTCAGTCAGCAAAAGCAACAAGGCACCTTAAAGACTAACACATTTATTTGGGCATAAGCTTTCGTGAGTAAAAAACCCACTTCTTCAGAGGCAATGAGAGATCACTGTTGCATTCCTTCGCATAAAAATCGACTGCCGAGTTCCCCCCAGACTGCTGAGATTTTTTCCAACAGCGGAGAGGCAGAGGTGGGCATCCGTGCATACTGGTCTCGTGCCGATGCAATTTGCAGCATGTGTTCCAAGGGGCAGTGTAACTGGCTACTAGGCCTCGCATAAAATTGGCCACAGGCCACACCAAACATGAGACTGTTGCACGCAGATATCTGCTATTGCCTCCACCTCCCCGCTGAGGTAGTAGCAGTGCTGGCTACCAAGCCTTGCATAAAACCGGCCACCAAGTCCCTGTCAAACTACTGCTCTGACATGATGCTATGAGCCACACCGAGCACAAGACTGTTGGGGAAAGGGGGGGGGAGGAGGGAGGAAGAGAGGCTAAACACAGGTTTATGCTCATTAAAGTGTCTAGAAAGAAAGCAGAGAATTCTCAATCAAGACTTTGAAAAATAACCAAAGAACAAAACTAGCAAATATATTTCAACCCTCTCACAGTGCAGCAAAACTCTTGAACACGTGCTTATGTCAAAAATCTAGTACCACTTTTCAGTATCTGTTGAAGTATTTAAATGGCTTCGACATAGGGCTTTAAGCATACATTTAATTGCTTCACTGAATTGGGGTCATAGTGAAATCATTTTTCACAAGACAGCTTGTTGTACTGGAATTTGCATAGTGCAATGAAACAACATGGGAGTTTCATTCTACAACACTTAATTATGGTTTCATTATACCTGGGTTCATGGTAAGCTAGTTCCATGTCATTCAAAATACAACTGCCATTGTAATTTTTTTTTATGTCAAAAAATATATTCGGCTACTGATTAGGGACCCTGAAGTTACTATTATTCTTCTTACAAGGTGGTGTATTTGTGTACTAATCTTTTTTAAACTAATTTTGAATCTTGTTTAGAATAATAAGGCTGGCAAGCATTGCTGAGCTGTTGGATTAAACATGCCGTACCTTAACATAGGACAAATCCCACTGGAGGCTCTCCTTGGCACAGTGATATGCTTCTTCCCACTTACCAAGGCTGTAAAAGGCATTTGATTTGTTGCACAATAACACAGCCACATCTCTCTGAGAAACCCTACAAAAATTAGCAACATTAATGTTTAATCAATTTTAAAGAGATAAATGGTACTTTATAGTGAACAAACATTTGACAAAACTCTTCAATTTATTCCACCAAACAGAATTATGGTACAAAAAGATATCCTCTGGAAAGAAAATAAAGATCTTGCAAATTCAGTTAACACAATTCCATAACTTATAGCAATATTCCACAGGGGAAAATACTACTTTAAAACAACATTAATGTTACAAGGTGAAGTAAAGAAATACAGTTATGCTCATACATGCCACCATAACTCTATCCCACCCTTTTCGGGATATGCATTAAATACAGTCTATTTTATGACTGCATTCTATTTTTTTCATTTAATCTCTGAAGGAAAATATTGAAAGTACATTGGTTCAATTAAACAATTTGGATGGGTTCACGATCAGGCCCAAGGCCTGAGTGGAACACTGAGGGTGTGACCTGCAGGTGGTAAGGAGAGCAAATGTGCTTCAGCAACCAAGAAACGCTAACTAAAAATACAGGGCTAAATCCTTGGCTGATGTGAGCTGGCATAACCCCAGGGAAGCCGAATTTATACCAGCTGAGGATCTGGAAGAACATTGATTTAATTCTTACTTGGTTTTTGAATATTGATAATTTGAATGGTGGGGATCTGACCCAAACCAAGACAGTATCTAGGAAAATTTATACTAAAGATCCTGAACTTAGACACCAAAGCATTGGACTGGGTCGGAGGAGGAGCTGAGATACAATCCTGGCTTTGTCACAAAATCTCCATGCCTCCATTCTTTACCTCAGAGGGATAGTGAGATGATAAATTCATTAGTTTGTGTGAGGGGCTGAGATACTACAGTGTTTGGGGGCTGGGATGAGCATAAGTACAGCAGATAGACTCGAAGACTTTAAGACCAGATGGGACAATCATGATCATCTAGTCTCATCTCCTGCGCATTACAAGCCCCAGAACCTCGCCCAACCACTCCTATAGTAACTTCTGGCTGAGTTACTAAAGTCCTTAAAACTTGATTTAAAGCAGGAGTTCCCAAAGTGGGTCGCGACCCCATTACAATGGGGTCACCACGACTGATGTTAGACTTGCTGGGGCCCGGGACTGAAGCTGAAACCCGAACCCAACTGTCCAGGGAGGAAGCCTAAGTCCAAGGGCTTCAGCCCTAGGCAGTGGGGCTCAGGTTACAGGCCCCTTACTGAGGGGTGAAGTCCTTGGGATTTGGCCATCCAGTCCGGGGCAGTGGGGCTCGGGCGGGCTCAGGCTTCGGGCCTCCCTCCTAGAGTAGTGTAGTAATTCTTATCAGAAGGGGGTCACGGTGTAATGAAGTTTGAGAACTGCTGGTCTAGCCCAATGCCAGTAGAAAGAGTCAGAGTGAAAGAAAAAACGAAAAATAAGTAAGTCACAGTAAATAGTAAAATTCAATTGAATTAAGCTTATTTTAATTTACAATAATTCTCAAAACTTATTTTGGGCTTGTTCAGGTAATTTGATTAGTATCATGCCCATTTTACAGATGGGGAAAACAATGAATCAGGGATGTTAAGTGGCTTGCCAAAAAACAAAAAAAAAGAGTCAGTATCGGGCTTGAAAACAGAGCTCAAGAGTTCCTGATTCCTGCTATCCTCAGATAGCTGGATCACTTATCTTTAAAATTCTCTTATCATTTACTCTGTCATACATTAGCTGAATACTTACATCCCCCACTGGAATAACTGAAAGAGCACACGTATGGCTTCATCGTAGTTTCTGATGGCCAAGAAATAATTTCCATTTTTAAAGTTCTCATTTCCAGCTTTTTTCATAAACTCTGCATAATCCATGGGATCCATGCTAGTTGAAAGGGAAAAAACAAAACAAACAAATGAAAGCTCTATGCTATGGTGCTCCTCCTTCCCCCCCGCCCCAAAAAATCACAAGAATAAGCCTGTTTCCTTCATAAAGGACCTAATCCTGAGAGGTGATAACCAGCTTGTAAGGACTTCAGTGAAAATTATGGATGTTCTTGGGATCAGACCCAAATTCTCTTTTGCAACAACAATTCACTTTGGTTCTGAAGCCAATTTAATCTCATTTTAGGTAGCAACTTCTCCTCCCACCAGACATTAGGAGCAGGACAGATAAAAACCATCTTTCCTATCCCAGCAGCTGAAGATGGTGAGGTGAACTTGGACCATAGCACTGACTTGAAATTTACCCTCTTAATTTTTGTCTCAACCTTTGGCTAGCAGATTTAGTCCTTTGGCTGGTAGGTGCTTGGTACATTTCTCAAATCTTGTTGGAATCTTATTTTTAAAATGGTATTTAAACTAATTTATTTAAATGGACACACACATATACATACACTGGACAAAACTGTGAGACAACTACAGAATTGGTTAAAAAAAATCAAATTGAAAGTTTAATTTTAGTTGGTTGAAAAAACAGGAAACATTTCTGAAAAAAACAAAAAACCTGTTAATTCTCCTGGGGTTTGACCAGCTTTTCTGGTTATACAGTTAGGCAGACAATTACACAGCAAAACTGCATAACAATCTGACTACAGCCTGAAAACATTATCATACAAACACAAGAGATATACCCAGCTCAGAAGAGATCAAAATCTAATTTAAGACAAGATACAAGAAAAGGGGGTAACAAACACGCCGAGGGAACATAAAGGGGACAATGACAGGAACCAGAATCATTTTTGCAATTTAAATTGCAAAACAAAATTACTTACACAGAGAAATTAAAATAGTCACAACATCCAACATGTTTGGGGAGAAGGGATTCAAAAACATTAAAACCAAAAACATTTACTTTGAGAAATGTTACTTCCAAAAAAATAAAAATAAAAAAATAAAATCTCAAAAGTGAAAGAGAAAAGCAAGTTTTGAAGCTTCAAGTAAAATCCTTTCCCAAGAATGAACTACCAATAAACAAAAAAGTGTTGCTAATCATTCCTATCAGTTTGGAAATCTTGCATCAAGAAAAAGCAGAAAGCCTACGAGGAGTGGAAGATGGGAGGGATCAACAAGGAAAGCTACCATATTGAGGTCAGAACGTGTAGGGATAAAGTGAGAAAGGCCAAAAACCATGTAGAGTTGGACCTTGCAAAGGGAATTAAAACCAATAGTAAAAGTTTCTATAGCCATATAAATAAGAAGAAAACAAAGAAAGAAGAAGTGGGCCGCTAAACACTGAGGATGGAGTGGAGGTTAAGGATAATCTAGGCATGGCCCAATATCTAAACAAATACTTTGCTTCAGTCTGTAATGAGGAGCTTAGAGATAATGGCAGGATGACAAATGGGAATGAGGATATGAAGGTAAGACATTACCACATCTGAGGTAGAAGCCAAACTCGAACAGCTTAATGGGACTAAATCGGGGAGTCCAGATAATCTTCATCCAAGAATATTAAAGGAACTGGCACATGAAATTGCAAGCCCATTAGCAAGAATTTTTAAATGAATCTGTAAACTCAGGGGTTGTACCGTATGACTGGAGAATTGCTAACATAGTTCTTATTTTTAAGAAAGGAAAAAAAGTGATCTGGGTAACTACAGGCCTGTTAGTTTGACATCTGTAGTATGCAAGGTCTTGGAAAAAAATTTGAAGAAGAAAGTAGTTAAGGACATTGAGGTCAATGGTAACTGGGACAAAATACAACATGGTTTTACAAAAGGCAAATCATGCCAAACCAACCTGATCTTCTTTGAAAAGGTAACAGATTTTTTAGACAAAGGAAACGCAGTGGATAGGACCTAACCAAGTTTCTAGAATTATGCTAAAGCCTTAGACACAAATCAGAGAAACAGATGCATTCATAGTGAAGATGGAACCTTAGTTTCATTTCCCAAGCTGCAAAAAAAATATTAAAAAAGCAATAAACTGTGTAAATAATAAAAACGAGTAATATTTTAAAAACCAAATTCTTACCTATGTTACAAAAAAAATCCTTAGACTTTTTCAATTTTTTCAATTTTAATCTATGATTTTTAATCCACGTGTATCCCTTTAACATCAGGAGCAAGTAAAAAATGATTACAGGAAGAAAAATATATTCTGAAACAGGTTCAGCTACCGAGATGTTTTCTTAATATGCATTGTGCATGTGTGTTTGGTTCTGTGTTGATCAGAGTACATATAACGCTTGATATAGCTCATCTTATCAAGGGTGGACTTTGACTGTTGTTGTTTTTTCAAGAATTAAGGTGGAGATTGTAGTGAGGGTGGGGTCTCTGGCTTTTGCCCAGAATTAAATTTGGTTATTATTTTAGGTCCGTTTAAAATAAAAATCAACACTACAACCAAGTTTCACAGACATGTTATGGAACAATATAGTGAAAGATCTTTGGTTACAACATTTGTTTGCTTTTTGTTACTGATTTTTCTAATAAAATACAATTAGAAAGAAGGGGGGGGGGACGACAACCAAACATGAGTATAATGATTACAGCATTTATCACAAGAAAGATCAAATTTAGAAACCAACAGAAATTTTAACCTCTTTTCACAAGACAAGAAAATGAAAGAGGAAGTATGCTGGTCTGTAGGACCCAATTCTGATCTCACTTGCACCATTTTACACTACTGTAAGTTACTCCTGATTTACTCCAGCATAAGTGAAATTCCCCCAGAAAGAAAAACAGTAAATGTAAAGAATGGGAGACTGACCAGTTAAAGTCAAGAGGCTGAGAGGAACACAACTATCCTTCCTGCGTGAAAAGCAAATGGAGACTTCACTCTCATCAGCCCAGCTGGAGAAGGGGAAGGTGTGGAGATCAGAGCTCTCCCTTTGGTTTCAATCTACTCGGTAGAGCTGACCCAAAATGTATTCCTCGACATTAACCATTGTTTGGCATTTGCAATAATTTTACCATCTTCCTCTGGCCAGTTTTTAATTTTTGTGATCTCCTGCATTTCTGGATTCTGTCCAGAAGAAGTAGTGATGAAATACAGCAAAAGAGTCTCTTCATGCACTACTCCAGCACAACCAGAAGCAGAACTAAAAAGCTTGTGGCAAAGCCTATTCTTTTGACCTTGCCAGCCAAGGGCCTAAAACAGATACTAATGAAATCAATGGGATGATTGCTGTTGACGTCATTGGGAGCAAGGCTGGGCACAAGAGCCAAGAAGTTTGGATATCAAAATTTGACAGCTGAGTGCTTATTGAAACAGAACCACTGAACTAACTGCCAATTGCTACATAAAACATATTGCTCTAACTTCTTCCTGAAGCTTAATTCTCTCTCAAAGAAAGCTAAATATCTCTCCATTCATAAGAGTTCATAAAAAGATATAATCTATTATTCTGGCTTGAATGAGCATAATTATTTATTTCATGCAACATAAATGGGCAAAATCAGAACCATAAGAACATACAATCATAAGTAACCAAAGGCCTTGGCTTTCCTGCTGGCAAAGGCCTTGGCTTTCCTGCTGGGGAAATACCAAGTCCCTCACCGGGTGGAAATCTTCCTTAAGTCACAGAAATACAGAGGTCTGGGGGCAGGGAAGCCACAGAGACCCTTCTCCATGCTTTCAGAATAATTGAATGCAAATAACTACATCAATCTAATATCAAGACCCTGATCCTGAAAATAATTAAGAATGGGCTTAACTTTTCTACTGTGAAGAGACCCAATGAACTCAATGGGACTACTCATTATAGCAAAATTAAGCATGTGTGTAAGTGTTTACAGGATCTGGACCTAAGTATTGTATACAATAGTAAAATCACTAAGGTCTGATCCTATTCCTATTGAATCAAAGGGCAAAGCTCCCATTGACTTCAGTGTTGCCAAGTCTTTGGATTCTGTTGAGACTCTCATGATATTTGGTGTTTCACCAGTTCCTGGAGATGTGATTACATGAAAGTCCCAATTTTCTCTCTCTCTTTTTTTTTGGGGTGGGGGGGGGAGAGGAGGTGGAGAGGGAGCCTTGTGGTTGTGGAGAAAAACTTGAAACTGATCAGAGTGAATCCTAAAGGCTCAATTAATTTTTTTTAAATAACATCCTCTTTAAGCCAATCTTCTTTTCTTTTTTTTTTTGGAGGCCTGACTTGTGATTTTTGAACTTTTGGGGTTAGCAATACTGAGAACTGGATCCGATAATCAGGAAATGTGAAAGTTAAAGGCCCAGACACATTGTTGAGCCTGCATGTTCTGGGGTTATACATTTTGTAAGACAAACAATATGTTAAGCTACTTATTTAATGAGAAAAACTAGAATAGCAATCTACATTATGTAATGTGGTTAACTTAATGCTGCTGTTGCAAGTTTATCTAGAAGCTTCACCTTATAGCGACAGCTGCTAGGGAGAAAGTGCCTTTTCTCCCTAAGGCATGTCACTTCCTCCAAAATCCAGGGAGCAGGGCTACACATATTTTTTTTTCTTTTTTTAAATGAAAGATGTTTTGGGGGAGGGGAGATGTTATTTACATCTGGATGATAACGTTATCAGCAATGGTGGGAAACGAGAAGCCTCTCTCCCAGCCTGAGGAAATTCATCATCCAGAAGTCTTTGTGGTCACCCTTCCTGTCATGCAAAAAGAATGCAACTTCTTACCCCTGTCCTCAAAGACAGACATCACCACAGTCAGCAGAAAACACAAACAATCAAACTGTAGAAGAGTGACTGCCAACACCTTCAACAGCATTCAGAGAGAAAGAAAATAAACCCATTCCAACAGGCTACACGAACATTTGCCAAAGAAGCAGCCTCTCTTCCTTCCGAAAGCAAACACTGCAGCTGTCAGGCAGAAAGATGGAGTCTTCTCCACAGACAGATGGAATGCACTAACATCAGGCCCATCGAATGTTACTGTTGCACTGAAAGGTCCCAAA